AAGTGGTCACATGATGGACTTATTTGAAACGATTTGGGGGATACATCAAAATTATTAATTTTTACACCTAAATTTGTTATAAATCTTCCAAAAAGTCGATTAAGAGCCCATTATGGGCGTTTAAAAAAAATACCAAGTTTTCTCTAAACAGAAGATCATTTTGCTTTACTTTAGTTTAGTAAAAGCTCTCGGATTTGTTTGAACTTTTTCCCAAAGATAGGTATTTGTATCCTGATTTTATTTTTTCTTGGGAAACCGACCCGGATCTACAAAGCGCTCCAAGATCCGGATAAACAAAACCGATATTGAAAATACCTATCTAACATGTGGTTATTTGATGGGGTCTGATGGCTGTTATTTGAAATGGTTCGGGAGATATATCAAATTGATCAATTTTTGGACCCGAATTTTGTTAACGAAAAAATCCCTAATATTTGTTGACACTTTAAAATTTCCAAAATGCTAAAAGTTGAGTTTTGTTTTTGGGAGGGGGGAAGGAACCGGATACTTGGATCTGATGTTGAAAATGCCTATCCAACAAGTGGTCGTATGATAGGGTTACTTGCAACGGTTCGAGAGTTATATCAATTTTATCGATTTTTTAATCGAAAGTGTGTACTTCGAAGGACTTCATTAAACTGAAGGACTTCTGATAGAAAGCCGCTAAAAGTTTTCTTTCAATTGACGTGGCCATATGGCTATGTCCAAAACGTTCCTCATCGAAATAACGGTTTTAGACCCTAGGACTCTTTGGACCAAATCCGTTTCAGAACATTTGGAGTCGATCTACCGATGTCCGTCCGTCCATCTGTCTGTCTGTCTGACTGGCTGGTGCGCACGATAACTCTCGAAGGGAGTATCCGATTTGATCCAAACTTGGTACATCGTGATATTTTTGTCAAACTTAGATCGAGTTCGGAGATGGGCAATATCGGTCCACTCCTTCTGGTACCTCCCACACAAAATGTCAAAATTTTCAAAGAAAATAATTTATTGCACAGAAAGAGGAAGGATAATCCGATTTTGCTCGAACTTTGCGAATCCTATTATTTTCATCAGTGCCAGGTCAGGTGCGAAAATGAACAATATCGGTCCACTCCATCAAGTACCTCCCCCACAAAGGGTCAAAATTTTGAATAATTACAACTCCTATAAAATGTGATGTAAGAGTCCGATTGTCTTCAAATTTCACACATCCCAATAATTTTCTTAGCCAAAGGTCTGGTGTGAAAATGGAATGTATCGGTCCACTTCTTCGGATAACTCCCCCACAAAAGGTCGAAATTTTCAAAAACAAAAAGAATATATATATATAATTTTTTTCTGCACATAAAGAGAAGCAATAATCCGATTTTGTTCAAACTTTGCAAATCCTTATATTTGCATCAGTTCTAGATCAAGTGCGAAAATTGACAATATCGGTTCACTCCATCAAGTACCTCCCCCACAAAGGATCCAAATTTTGAATACTTACAACTCCCATAAAATGTGATGTAAGAATCCAATTGTCTTCAAATTTCACATATCCCAATATTTTTATTAACACAAGGTCTGGTGTTAAGAGGCAATACATCGGTCCACTCCTTTTGGTACCTCACCCACAAAAGGTCAACATTTTCAAAAAAATTATATAAAATATATTTTTTGCACAGAAAGAGAAACGGTTACGCGATTTTGCTCTAACTTTGCAAATCCTTATATTTGCATCAGTCCTAGGTCAAGTGCGAAAATGGACAATATCGGTCCACATAAAGGGTCCCCACAAAAGGTAAAAATTTTGAATAATTACAACTCTTATAAAATGTGATGTAAGGATCCGAACGTCTTTAAATTTCACACATTCCAATATTTTTATAAACCCAGGATCTGCTGTTAACAAGGAATGTATCGGTCCACTCCTTCTGGTACCTCCCCCACAAAGTCTCGAAATTTTGAATACCCAAGAAGCTCATAAAACGCCACATTAAGATCCGATTCCATTTATACTTGGCACATCTCAATATTTCTATCAACACAAGATCTGTTATAAAGGTGGTATAGATCGGACCATTTCTTGTGGTACCTCTCCCACTAAGGGTCAAAGTTTCGAAAAACCAAAAGTGTTATAGAATCCCATTATTTCCACTAATGCAAGATCTGCTGTGAAGAAGAAATACCGATATATGCCATCTTCACATCAGATCTCCTTCTGGTACCTCTCCCACAAAGGGTCAAAATTTTTAATATCTATGAAGCTCATAGAACGCGAAATTAACATCCGATTCCATTCAGACTTGATATATGTCAACATTTCCATCAACAGAAGATCTGTTATAAAGATGGTGGATATCGGGAAATTTATTCTGGTATCTCCTCCACGTGGGGCTCAAAATTTTGAAGAGCAAAACGCTTGAAGAAAGCGAAATAGCGCCCTCCAACTCTCTTCAATTTCACACACAGAAGCATTTTTGATAATACAAAATATCTTGTGAATGTGATATATATCTGCGGACTCCTTCTGGTACCTTACCCACAAAGGGCCACAATTTTTAATGCGTTTATCTGTCATAAGTTGCTAAACAAGTCAGGAATTTTTTTACATCTTCCTATATCGAAATATTTCTCTCAACCGAAAACCTGAGATGATTTATCGGAATTTATGATTTCGCATAAAATTGGATATAAATGTTCGATCTTCTTGTAATTTTGCTATGCCAATATTTTTGTCTGTATTGGATGAAATATGAAAATGGAAAACTTCGGTAGACTATAACTGATACCTCACGCATATTTTAAAAATTTCTAAAAATTATCCCTCACCTCATATAAAGTGAAGGATGTAGTCGATATAGTCCAAACCTGGCACGTCTCAATATTTATTTCATATTTATTTAGGTCTGATACGAAATGGTCAATATTTCTCCCTTCCTTCGGAACTCACTCCATAAAGGGACAGCAATTTGAATAATCATAATAGAACTCAAAATATATTTAAATAATTGAACATTGGCTGAATATCCATTGGGTATACTTCTGGCGGAAAAATCGACTGATCCTTATTAATTATCTCTACTTTCATAACCTGCCTCATTATACCCTGCACCACAAGGTGGTCAGGGTATTATGTCTTTGTGCATTTGTTTGTAACAGGCAAAAGGAAACGAGATAGACCCATAGTTCCTTTTGATGATCTGCATAGAATCACATTCTGAGTCGATTTATACATGTCCGTTTGTCCGTCCGTCTGTCCATGTATTTTTGTAAACAAAGTACAGGTCGCATTTATTGCCCGACCCAGATGAAAATTTGCACAGATCATTTGATTGGCCCAAGGACGAACCCTATTGAAATTGGAGATAATCGGTCAAAATTTAGATATAGCTCCCAAATATATCTTCGTCCGATTTGCCTTTTATTGTGCACCAAACGTGTAATATCAGTACGAATAGTATGGACTTTTCCCTGTACGATTAGATTGGACCTGAAAATAATTATGCCAAATTTTATCGAGATCGGTTCAGATTTGGATATAGCTCCCATATATATTGTTCATCCGATTTGTTATTTTTATCCTCCGCAGCCGTAATATGCACGCTGCAACAACAATATTTGGGGAAATATATCAAATACAGCTCAGAAATATCTTTGCCAAATTTTATCGAGATCGGTTCAGATTTGGATATAGCTCCCATATATAACTTCGTCCGATTTACCTTTTATTGTGCACCAAACGTCTAATATTTGTCTAAATGGAATGGAATTTGGCACTTACGACGGAATGAAGTCTAGAAGCTAGTGTGTCAAATTTGGTGAAGATCGGTTCAGATATTGCTATAGCTTCCATGTATATATATGCCAAATTATATCGAGATCGGTTCAGATTTGGATATAGCTCCCAAATATATTTTTATCCGATTTTAAATTATTTGTGCACCAAATGGGCAACACATGTCCGAATTTAAAAGATACAAATGCTTCGGCATATTTAGTCCTTTGATCTTTAAATTATAATTATAATCATAGGGTGTATGATTGAATTCTCCCATAAAAACTTTTAATTGTTATGTGGAGCTCTACTAAATTACCAAAGTGTCGTAGGATATCATTAAGTCGGCCCCGCCCGACTTTAAGCCTTTCTTTATTGTTTTTTTTCCTGTAATTGTACTATTATAAGCAGATTTGTTTTTATAAAAATCTTTCAGGAGGTCTTCTTCTATTTTTAATAAAACCCGGATCATATTTCTATTCCTTACAAGAACTTTAATAGATCTTCTGTCCACATAAGACCTATAAAGATCTTATGATTATAAAATACCTTTAAGGGTCTTCTGCCTTCAAAGTTCTTCTATCGCTTCATCACCCTTGCAGCCAGTTACAATTTCCGATTACAGCCTTTAACGTTTACATCGGCTACTTAAAGCCATTAACGTTGTCAGTCATACCTTATGAAAATACAAAACTATGATGAGAGTGTTATAAGAGTCCTTGATGCCACTTGAGATGGCAGTATGAGTAGATGTCTGTATGTGTGTGTGTATCACATTCAATTGCCAAGTGCAATATGAAATCCTTTCTGGCATCATAATGTTTACCTTTAAAATATTGTGTTTTTTTTCATTTTCCATAAAGTTTGTTCATATCTGTGACATATTTACAGCCATATTGACATTTATATATATATTTATACAAGATATTTTATATCCAAGGACTTTGAAGGTTTCCTTGATGTAGGTAACACACATATTGTGTATTTTGTGTATGTTTGAGGGTGTGAGTGCGAGTGTGCTTCATGTCTTGTCTGTTAGCTAATAAACATGGAAACGTCGAAAGGAAGCAGTTTTATGAAGATTCTTCCTTTTTCATACACATTGGAAATTATGCAGAGTTTCTTCAGTCGTGTTTTACACGGGAAAGATCAATGAAATTTGGATATTTTTGAAAAGAGCTTAAGTTAAAAAAATTGAAAAAAATATAAGGGGACGAGATTTTGATTTGAATTCTTTAGATAAAAATTTGCTTACCTTTATTTATATTGGAAATATAACTGAATCCGGATAAGTCCTTTTAATCTGAAAATAATAAAGAGAATGGGATTTAGGAAAAATTTGAAAATAGAATTGCAGAACAAGACAGTAATACGGAACATATAGGATATATAAGTAGAAATAGTGGAACAATTCAGGGTGAGATGAAAAAATTGAAACAAATTTCAGACTTCTGTTATTTCTAAGCCACTCGTCCGACAGCTGCAAAAATTATTCCAGTGACAGCTCATTATATTGTTTACAAGCGTACAAAAGCATTTGGTGGATAATTTTTCAGAAAAGAGAAAGTTATTCGTGATGGAATTCAAGCGAGATAGTGTGATTTCTTTATATTTGGCTGGAAAACCACCACAGATGGCTATCGTTAGAGCACTCCAGCATTTAAATGTGAATAAATCTTTTGTGTCTCGTATCATCGCTCGCTATCGTGATACTGGTAGCGTAGCCCGATGTCAAGGAAGTGGATGGAAGAAAACAGCAACATCAGCAGAAATTGTTCGAAAAGTAAAGAAGCGACTTTATAAAAGCCTGAGTCGCAGTGGCCGAAAAATGGCTCGTGAGCTGAACGTAACGCACTACTCCATTCGGCAAACATTGAAAAATGAGCTCGGGGTAAAGCCATCGAAATTCCAAAAAGTGCAAGAACTTACACCGCACCATAACAGAAAGAAAATAGACTCAAAAGAGCCCTTTCGGCCAACCGAAGCAGAAGTAACTCTTTACTTCTGCTTCGCTTGGCCGAAAGTGATGAACTGCCGAATTTGGTTCTCTCCGATGAGAAAACATTCGTTGTCCAGCAGTTTTGCAAATAAACAAAATGATCGTGTTTACTTGCCAAAGAGGTCAGCTGAAAATGTGCACCTCGGTTGGCCACCAGAACTCAAGCGCCGGCCATGGTGATGGTGTGGGCCGCCATAACAGCCGATGGTCGCTCTGCGCTCGTATTACTCGACCGTGTCAGTAAAATAAATGCCGAATATTATAACGATAATATTCTGGAGGGTGTATTAAAGCCTTGGGCACGCTAACATTTTGGCCGCAGACCTTGGACATTCCAACAGGACTCAGCACCATAGCACTCACCACGCGCTACCCAAGAATGGCTACAAAATGAAGTTCCTCGCTTCATATCCACTGTACAATGGCCACCAAAATCTCCGGATAGCAATCCGTTGGACTATTGTGTCTGGAGTATTTGTTTTCCCCAACTGTTGAACCTTTATGGCGGAGGTCCCGAAAGGGCTGGCCAATATTGTCCATTTCGTTTTTGACCTAGGTCTAATATAAATATCACAATATGCTATATTAGGACTATACCGACTACTTATATCACCTTATATGAGATTAGCAAGTAACAGCTACTTCGTTAGGGAAAAGTCCCACTTGAAATTTTGAATTCGTTCAACAGTTCATGTTAGGTCTGTGCTCAAAATGCACAATTTGTTCAGTTTAAAAATTTTTAACAAATCTCCATACAGGGTAGCAAATGCTTACCTTTTACACCACAAAGTCTTCAACATCTTACATTTTGAAGTTTACTGAGGAGGTTATTAGTAAAACCATTGCATAATGGACCTACATTCAATTTTTCGGTTCAAAACTATTTCAACGTCTCCATACGCATACCCTAGGAACCAACAGCGACCTCAATGTCAAATTTTTGGATTCCAACCCTATCCCTTCACCCAATTTAGTAACAATTAGTTCGCATATCCAGAACAATTGACATCTCCCATCCTAGACACCAACAGTCAGTAAAAATTATTGAACAGCTATAGTACTCGTTTGCAAAACCACCAACAGTGACATTTATAACAAATTTCAGGATTCCAAGTCTAATCCTTCAACCAACACCAAATTCATTAATATTTAGTACTTTTCGTACAATTATAGTACACATTTCCAAAACCACTTTCATATCAGAATTCCAGACACGAACAGTGATATCTATATCAAATTTCAGGATTCAAGCTCTATTCCTTCAACCAGTACCAAATTTAGTAACATTTAGTCCTTTTCGTACAATTATAGGACACATTTCCATCCATATTTCCATCCATCCCGATACCAATCTCAATATCAAATTTGAGCATTCCACTTCTATCCCTTCACCCAATACCAAATTTAGTACCATTCACCCATATCACAATCCCAGACACCAACAGGGACCTTAATACCAAATTTGAGAATTTCAGCCCTATTACATCACCCAGTCCCAAATTTAGTACCACGAATTACTTTTCGTGCAAATATAGGACACAATTCCAAAACCACCTTCAGATATCAACAGAGACAACGTTATCAAATTTAAGGATTCCAGCACTATCCCTTTAACCAAAACTCAATTTACTACCATTTTGTACTTCTTGTACAAATATAAGACGCATTTCCAAGCCGCCGCCAAATCTCAAACACAAATACTATCAGTAATCTAAATATCATACTTTAGGCTTTCAGCTCTAGTCCTTAACCCAATGCCAAATATAGTACCATTTAGTATTTTTGGTACAATTACAGTACACATTTAAAAAACTACCTCCATATATCAATCCCAACTACCTAGAGGGACACTAACACAAAATTTCAGTCTTCACGGATTATCTTTTCATCCAATACTAAATTGTTTTAAATATAGTACTATTTAATACATTTCGTACACTTGTAGTACACATTTCAAAAACTATCTATTTTTCACACACCCAAAAGCAAACTGTGCCCAATTTAGTACCATTTCGTTCAGTTCGTACACTTAGTACACATTTCCAAAACTATCTTCATATATCAACCATTCTTTCTTACCTTGATTCCAATATAAAATTTCAAGTATTTAGCTCCGTTCTGTTCGCATATTCAATTCAATTTTTAGTAAATTTTAGTCCTTTTTGTACCCATTTAGTAGGATTTTCCGAAAACCTAACCTTATTACACGCCTTCGCACCAAGACCGACCTTCGGATAAGAAAGAGTGGACCGATAACTGATAACTCGCTGGTTTAAAGAAACGTTTAGATATACCAAGTTTGAAAAGAATCGATGTGGGAGAGGTCCCAGAATGAGTGGACCAATATATTCCATCTTCATAACAGATCTCGTGTTATTAAAAATGTTGAGATGTGTGAAACTTGAAGAGAAACAGACGCTTTTTTCGCACCCCTTTGAGGGGAAGGTACCAAAAGGCGTGGTTTGATATATCCCATCTTCACCTGGTTTTTTGTTTTGATAGAAGTATTGAGATGTGCCGGGTTTGAAAGTAATCGGATGCTCATTTTGTGTTCTATGTGAGCTATGGGTATCCAAAATGTTGACCGTTGTGGGGGAGCTACCAAAAGGAGTGGCCTAATCTATTACATTTTCGTGCAATATCTAGAGTTGCATAAAATATTGACAATTGGACTATTATTTCACATTTTATAAAAATTATAATTATTCAATATTCCGTTTGTGGGGGAGGCACTTGATGGAGTGGGTCGATATTCTCTAATATCTCACCTCAACTAGCACTAAAATAAATATCAAAATTTACAAAGTTTGCATAAAATGAGATGATTTTTTCTTCTACTATGAGGTAGATAATTTTCTGCGAAAATTTTGACCCTTTGTGAGGGAGGTACCAGAAGGAGTGGACCGATATTGCCTATATTTAATCTCGATCTAAGATTGACAATAATATTACAATGAACCAAGTTTGGATCAAATCGAAAGCTCCCTTCGAGAGTTATCGGGCACACCAGGCAGTCCGGATGGACGCACAATACTAGATCAGCTGCAAATGTCCTGAATCGGATTTGGTCTAAAGAGACCTAGGGTCTAATACCGTTTTTTCGACGGTCTGTAACCATATGACCGAGGGTATAGAAATTAAGAAAAAATTAGTTTCCTTAAATTTACAACTTATACCACTCTCAAAAAGAAAGGCACACACTTCCAGGAACCATGTAAACGTGTGTGTGTGTGTGTACGTGTATCAACATATGTTCGGATTTAGTTTTGTTATAATTAAATGTAATTTATTGAATCAAGATGTAGCAGAAAGTATCAGAATGTTATGATAACTTTGTGTCAGAGTATGTATGTCCTTGTGTATCTCGGTGTTTGCAAAGGATGTTAACAAATATACAATAACTACAGCAGTAGCAACAACAACCTACAACAACACCAATAACATCGTTGATATCTTCGGTAGCAACAAAATTATAATTTATTCCTAACAAGTTGCCAGTCTTATGTTGTCGTCTCAAGCAGCGGGAACATATGTGACACAGCATCAAGAAAGCTACACGAGAGTTGATATTAAATATGAAACTCTTTCGTTCAGTAGGTTATGGGGAGAGGAGGCTGGGGGACGTGTTTACTCTCCACCCGCTGATATCATTTTATCCTTATCCTTATAATTCTAAGAAGTATAATTTACAAGCAATAAACTACTTAAAGTACACATTGCGTATAAATTGATATTTAATAATTTATTGTGCTGCATGGAATTGAAGATATCTTTGGATGAGATTAAAATTGGAAGAGGATTAAATGTGTTCGGGGTATTATTGTATAAACTTTTTCAAAAAATAAACGAATTGTCTGCTAAGAAGTCTGAATAGGGGGAGGCTGGAGCTGAATATAATATTCTCGTATAAAAATATATGGGAACTAAGCAGAATTAAGTCAGAACAGGAATTTTGAACAGTCCGCCATCAATTCCGCCATCAGTATCCTTGACAAAATTCTTATCATATCTGGCGACGATAATTATGAAAATTTCTACAACTCTGGACCCACTTTGCCCAGTAAAATTGCCCGACGCGAATGTAGCACGAATTATCTTATACTTATATTTCAAACCATCCACTTAATATAGGCAAGGTACTTCGCAATGGAGACTTCTGTCGTTCTCTATTTTACAGGTGCGACTTCTGAGACAAGTTATTCTGCAGCAGTGATCTCTGGGGTCAGCAATTTCGCAGTAGCGATTTTTAAGACCAGCTCCTCAACAAAGGTAATTGGTTCAGATCTCTATATTTTGATTTAAAT